TTCTTTACCTTTAGAAGAGGGGGTCTTTGGGATAGAACTCCTAATACCAGAAGAAGAAGAAGCTGAACCAGATGAACCACCACGAATGGATCCTAGGCTCAAGCTCCGAAGCCCACCTCCTCTGTCTTACGGGGGCATTGGGGAAGTGATCTAGAATTAGAACTTTTCTAGGGTTAGGGTTTGGAGATGACATTGTTGAAGAAAGATGAACTAAAGGGGAGAAAAAGCAAAAGTGAATAATAAATTGCTTGTTGAAGATCTATGAAGAAGAAGACAAAAGAAAGAGGGTTAAATATGTTTATAATGACAACCGTCAAACTTAGAAGTGTAATGATGGAAAGCCTATAATAAAGGCAACTATCACTTAGTGAATAGTGGGAATGAAGAAGCCTTGAAAAAAGGGCGCACAATTGCAGAACCAATCAGAAAGTGACACGTGTGTAGAGCATTAAATAAAAGGTGACACGTATGCAAAATATTAATTAGAAGGGACAATTGAAGCGTCAGTACTGTCATAGTATTAATTACGGCAAAAATTTCTTTTTTATGAAGATCCACTTCCCAGATATTTAATTGATAAATAAATGGAAAGTGGGGGGGACTATCTGTATTGGGAAAAAACTGAATTTACATTGAAGGTGACGTGACATGACACGAGGACTGGTTAAATGGTCAAAACATGATGATCAGTTAAGAGGCATGAGTGACAGTAGATACGGGGAAAAGAAAGCTAAATAGGCACGAGAGGCAATTCGAATAATACAAGCTTCGTACCTATTTAGGTCATTTAAAGCCAAGAGATCAGAAGGCATCGAAGACATGAGTATGATGACNCAAGAGATCAGAAGGCATTGAAGACATGAATATGATGACGAAAAGGAGTCCAAATTCAATATTAAATACCCAATACGTTAGAGAATTAGTATTAAATAGGAATGATTGTGTTACGTCTTATTTAATGTCATTTATTGCTCATAATTGTCTCATTAAGACTAAGGTATTACTCCTTTACTTAGAATCAACTATAAAAGAAGGAAGTCTCGTCATTTGTAAGGACAGAGGATATCATCAACATTACATTGGAATACAAACCTATTTACTGTTTATTTGTTATTCTCAAAAAGTCTATTATTTCTTTTTTGTCTCCTGATTATCAGTAGCCCGAATTTCTATTTGTCTTTAGCTTTGACCAAAGAATCATATTTTTTGTTAAACAATTTCCATTTCTGTGTCGTCTTATACATCTACGCCTCGTCCTGTTTCTGCTTGTTTGTTATTAGCAGTCCTTACTACAAGCTGCAGTGAATCAGAGGTTCCTCATAATTGAGCCTTCTCACATTTTTAATTTAACTTTCTTTTTTCTTTTCAGTTTTCAACTATTAGTAAAGTTTTATAAACAATATAATAGAGCAAGGCAAATGTTCACTAAGAAACCTCACAAATGAAATTAAATGTCATAATTCAAAAAACCAAAATAATACACTTCTGTTCCAGTTTATGTGAACCTATTTTCTTATTGGTCCGTTCCAAAAAGAATGACCATTTTCTAAATTTGGTAACAATTTAGCTTAAACTTACAATTTTACCCTTAATGAGAAGCTTTTATAGCCACACAAATACTCTGGATTCCTTTTTGACTTGTTTATGACCACAAATTCCAAAAGTCTTCATTTTTTCTTAAACTCCGTGCTCAGTCAAACATGCATAAATTGGAACGGAGGGAGTATAAGATACTTTTATTCATACACACACACATATTTGTATTTAGAATTATTTTCTTTCACACGCTACAAATAGCGGCGAAGCCAGAAATTTACTCAAGGGTGTTCAAACTTGAAAGAAGTGAAAAAAAAATTCCGAGAAAAAGTGTTCAATATATATTATATACCTCTAAAATCTAATATTATCTCTATATATACAGTGTAATTTTCCGACGAAAGGTGGCTAGTTGACCATCCTTTATAATATGTAGCTTCGCCCATGGCTACAAACAAGGCAATTCACGTGGTGGCAAAGTCTTAGTTACACGTAGCATCCAGTCAGCACAAAATTAATTAAGCCAGTTATATGCATCATCCATTAGAAAAATATAAATTCTCTTATATAATATTCTCATTTGTCCAATAAAGGATCACGAGGGGGCTTTGTTTATTCTTCCCTTTGCGTGTATATATCAAAAGAGGAAGGAAAAATATAATTGAAAGGCAATTCAAAATGAGATAGTATAAGAAACTAATAAGGCAAGAAGAAAAAAAGAGGCAAGAAGGAGAATGTAAAAGACGTAAAAAGGCATGAAGCGTAAAAAAAGAAAATAATCCAAAGAAAATTTGACCAAGAACTTTACCTAATATATACACCTAATATATATGGCATGCGTCATATATATAAACTTTTGCATTACAACATGATCAGAAAGTTAATAAATGTAGATTATAAATAAAAACTTCAAAATAAACTATAGTGTGATAAGGATATTAACCATACCCAATAAGAATTAAATGTAGAATATGGACATGAGTTAAATTAATTAAACTTGGTGTGATGCATTAAGTAAACTTTTCCCCCGAAATGATTGGAGAACAGCCGTATTTGTGCTACTTCCTATAAAATGATCTGGCAAGACCGTTCAATAATTTCTTTACCAACCAACAACGAACAATTAAGGTATATATTTTCACAACCTTTTTTAGGACATGCACAAAGGTTGTAAACGGACAGCTTGGCTTGGAATTTTCCCAGATCTTACCATCGGATCTTCCTAGCTAGACAATTCCAACGTGTTCATAACTTTTTCCCAACCACCAAATTAGAGTCAATATATATATTTAGTGGTATATATCCAGATCAACTATTCTTTAACTACCGGTGTACCCCACATTCCACCAATATATAAAGACCTCCGTTTCTGCTCCAAAGTCTTCTCTATATTCCATATATTCAACTCTTTTGGTTAATCGTTCTTAGGCTTTTCCTCTGCTCGCTGTTCTTCATCATACCAAGGTTTGTCCCCAGCATCTTTGCTGTTAATTCTTATGATGATAAGTGCGGATCCAGTATAGATGCAGTGGGTGCACGAGAGCCGCGTGACTGCACATGCACTTACTGTCTCGAGATATGTTTGTGTGTCTTACAACATTATAAATTTTAAATTTTGTATCCGTCTTTGGTCGTACTTGTTTCGTTCAATCCACCTTTCTAGTTTGTCTTGCTATGTATTGTTCTTGTTCCTTTTCCAATAGACTTTAATGATATTGTAGTGTATGTATGCCTGTTCAGTTTGTATTAGACACGATTTACACTGTAGTTATTTGCTCTGTCTCTGGCTTCTCGAGTATTTGCTGCGTTGCCTTCATCTTAATGAGAGAGAGAGAGAGAGAGAGAGATTTTGACTTGATTATGATTATGGCTAATTTCTAAAAATATGAACAAACTGGTGTTTTCCAGCTGGCTTCGAGTTATAACACATAATATTGTTCATTCTGATGCTTTCATACTAGTTTGCTTATTAAGGAAGTAAGTTGAGGTCTATAATCTGGAACTAAATTTTTGGTCAATACTGATGTCTAGCTGGTGCATTCCGAATAAAAGTTATATATGAATATTCCAATTCAAATAGAAGGATTATGTAGCGAACCCTAACTTGTTCAGGATTGAGACGTAATAGTTGTTGTAATTGATTCATGTGTCTGAATGTGATTAATAAACCCCATTCTCCCAAATACTTTCTGGTTGACTTTGAGATATTGCACTGTTATTACGTGATAGTCTTAAAAGATTGCTAATTCTATTGGCTAAGTGCAGACCTTGAAGAGGCAGTTCAAAATGCCTAGCACCGTGGATTCTGAGAATGGAATTGCCAAACATGTCGAGTCATCTCTTCCATCTTTATTCGAAATTGAGGAATCTGATGATTTGTCTAGATTGCTGGAAAAACCAAGAGCCATAAATATAGAAAGGAAAAGATCATTTGATGAAAGATCTTTCAGTGAAATGTCAATAACTCATTCGCCGCCACGCAATCTAGATGGGGTGTTTTCCCCAGGAAGGAGGTCTAGCATAAACTCACCCAGATCAAGCCACTGTGTTGAGCCACATCCCATAATAGGTGAAGCGTGGGAAGCCTTAAGGCGTTCTATAGTTCTGTTCCGTGGACAACCTGTGGGAACTCTTGCTGCTGTTGATAATTCTACAGAGGAACTCAACTATGATCAGGTACAGTTTTTTATCAAGTTCTAGTTCTTAGGTTGTTGCTACAACTTCATATACTCCCTTTTTTCCATGTTATGTCGCACTATTTCCTTATTAATTTGTCCGAAGAAGAATGTCACATTTTTATATTTGGAAGAAAATTAACCTTAAACTTCTCATTCTACCCTTAATAACATGTTTTTATAGCCACAGGAATTTCCTGACAAGTTTAATAGCCCGTTTGGCCAAGCTGCAAAAATAAACTTATTTTGAGAAGTGTTTTTTTTCAAAAGTGTTTTTCTCAAAAGTACTTTTGGTGAGAAGCAGTTTGTGTTTGGCTAATTAGTTTGAAAAGCACTTCTGAGCAGCAATTAGTGTTCGGCCAAGCTTTAAAAAACTACTTCTAAGTGTATTTTTCTCAAAAGTGCTTCTCAAAAAAGTGCTTTTGAAGAGAAACTACTTTTTTCTTCTTCTCCTCAAAAGCACTTTTTTTTCCTTCCAAAAGCTTGGTCAAACACCTCAATTTTTGGCCAAAAGTGCTTTTGGCCAAAAAAAAAACACTTTTGGCCAAAAATAAGCTTGGCCAAACAGGCTATAAAACCAGTTGTTGAAAAAGTCTTTTCGTTCTTTATTATACTATATGTCTAGTCAAACATCACTACGTAAAACAAATAGGCAGTAGTTATTAAGAATGTTGAGTCAATGGTGTGATGCCCGTGACAAAGGACGGATAAGCTTCTAGGCAGGCAAACTTCTAAAGAAGGGGTGCACATGTTATCTTAGGCGAATCCCACGTCAAAATAAGAGAGGAAGGTGAAGAGCTTTATAAGGCATGACATAAGTTCACATGGTACACGTGCTTTTGAGGCTCGTTGTGGCGTAGCCCAAAAGACAAATCCGTACGGACCTAGCCCCAATGCGGACAATACGTGTTATGAGCTTGGGTCTGTCACAAGTAGGTTCAATTATCGCAATAATATGGACAATGAAGTTATTGTATTCTCACATCACAAAGATCAGTTTTCAATTCAACTGTTTGAGGTTGGCGGATAATGTCGAAGATTTAATTTAAGTTAATAAAAATGTATCGTCTTTAACAGCTTAAGCTTTGGATGAGATGGTGAACACCAGAATAATCCTGTTTGAGTAATGCTTGTAATGAAACATATTCGCATCTTCAATTTCCCTACTCATATTTGATCAAAACAAGAAGTAACAATTGCAGCCTAGAACAAGAAAGCCAGTTGTTTTAGCTGTCTCCGTTGCTTCTTTATACTTTCATTTTTTGTCTTTGCAAATTAAAGGGCAGCCTAGTGCACTAAGCTCCCACTATGCACGAGGTCCGGCCATCTTACCCTGCATTTCTACAAGAGGTTGTATCCACGGCTCGAACCCATAACCTCCTGCTCACCTGGCAGCAACTTTACCAATTACGCCAAGGCTCCCTTCTTAATGAACCTTGCAATTCTTGACTTTAAAAATTATGGCAGGTATTTGTGAGAGATTTCGTGCCTAGTGCTTTGGCATTTTTGATGAATGGTGAACCTGAAATAGTCAAAAACTTCCTTCTGAAAACGTTACGGCTCCAATCATGGGAGAAGAAGATAGACCAGTTCAAGTTAGGGGAAGGAGTTATGCCTGCAAGTTTTAAAGTAATTCATGACTCTGTTAAGAACTCTGATACAATAGCTGCTGATTTTGGGGAATGTGCTATAGGCAGAGTTACTCCTGTAGATTCTGGTTTCTGGTGGATTATACTGCTTCGTGCATACACAAAGTCTACAGGGGACACTTCTTTAGCTGAGATGCCCGAATTTCAAAAGGGTATACGCCTGATTCTGACTTTATGTCTCGCAGAAGGTTTTGATACATTTCCGACCCTGCTTTGTGCTGATGGATGCTCTATGATTGATCGCCGAATGGTTAGTCTCATGAACTCGATCTCTTCTCTTTTCTTTGCCATTGTTGTTGAGATAGAAACGGATTTAGGGCAAGTTCTGTGGGTTCAATTGAACTCAGTGTTTTCGGCTTGAACTAAAGTTAAAATATTGGAGTACTTACATCTTAAAAACGGGTATATGATTTGTTTTTTAGCCTACTGAATGATATTGAGATAGACTTTTGCCATATTGCATGTCTAAACTAAAACAAAATCTAACTTTTTTCGACTTCCTTTATAGCATCCACCTCTAGAGGCAGATCCAGAATTAAACTTAATGGGTTTAATCTTTAAGATTGTTAGCATTGAATTCATTGTACTATTAAACTTAATGGGTTCGGACTAATATTTGTTTATATTTTAGTAGATTTTTACATATACATCTATACTCTATATAAAAAATTATGAGTTCAAATGAACATTCCTTCAATATAAAGTTTTTTTCTTTTGAGATCTCCACTCTTTTCATCTTGTACTCCTTCCATTATTCTGAATGTAGTTTCGAATATGATCGTTTGTGTAAATTCTTTCTCTACTATTCAATTTCTTGTCAATACCAACTTATTACTTGTGTCTATTAAAGTTCCTCTTATCGGTGTTTTGCCAACTCACGAGTTCGACTACTCATGTCCCGTTGTCAATGTGTCAGGGAGTTTATGGCTATCCAATTGAGATACAAGCACTTTTCTTTATGGCCTTAAGATGTGCTCTATTTCTACTAAAGCAAGATGAAGAAGGCAGAGAGTTTTCTGATCGAATAATTAAACGCCTTAATGCCTTAAGCTATCACATGAGAAGTTACTTTTGGCTTGATATGAAACACTTGAACGATATACACCGTTACAAGACAGAAGAGTACTCTCACACTGCAGTTAACAAGTTCAATGTCATGCCAGATTCACTACCAGATTGGGTTTTTGATTTCATGCCAAGTCGCGGCGGTTATTTCATTGGAAATGTTAGTCCTGCTAGAATGGATTTCCGTTGGTTTTGTTTGGGTAATTGCATTGCAATTTTGTCATCTTTGGCTACACCTGAACAAGCTTCAGCGATAATGGATCTCATTGAATCGCGATGGGAAGAGCTTGTTGGAGAAATGCCACTCAAAATTTGTTATCCTGCTATGGAAACTCATGAATGGAGGATTGTTACGGGGTGTGATCCTAAAAATACTAGCTGGAGTTACCATAATGCTGGATCTTGGCCAGGTTAGTTCCTCCTGTTTTAAAATCCCTAAAGTTCATCTCTAGTTAGTGATTTATTATTTGACAAAACATATTGTGATGTATGCAATGTACTTGTTGAGTAGCTTAACTAACTAAATAGTGAATGGAGTGTAAGGTTTTGAACCTGATAAATTCAACCTTTGATGTGTTTAGCACTAAACTTATTGTACTTTAGAAATTATTGATTCAGAATTTAGTATTTCTTGAAATTTTAGTAATTTTACACATGTATATAGTTTTGTAAGAAAAATACTAGATTCAATTGAACTCCTCGGATAAAGGCTCCCTCCACCTTGCCTATGTGAGCAAAGCATAACATATTCCAAACTCGAATAAAGGAGGAGGGGTTGTGTTTTTTTTACCTAAACTGGCCCAATGATACTCTAAAGGGTTAAGCTTGCACCGTTTTTCCCAAAAAGCCTCACACCATTAAGAGTATCCACCATCTTATAAGTAACTTTCTTTTCTTTTCTACTTTTCATATGGGACTTTGTTCACACACATCCAACAGTGGTAAGTTGATGGTCAGTGTAATATAAACCAAATGATTCTTCTAAACCGAAATTGGCTTGGATAGAGCATGTGATACAAGTGATCCATATAGTTAAACTACAACTAATTTGAGATAGAAGTGTAGTTAAATGACACTGACTTGCTTGTTTTCTGTGTGTAGTTCTTCTGTGGCTCCTTACTGCTGCATGTATCAAGACTGGAAGACACCAATTAGCAAGAAAAGCTATTGAACAAACAGAAAATCGTTTGCTAAAGGATAGTTGGCCAGAGTACTATGATGGAAAACATGGTCGTTACATTGGTAAACAAGCTCGGAAATTCCAAACATGGTCCATTGCTGGTTATTTGGTAGCTAGAATGATGCTTGAAGATCCATCTCATTTGGGTATGATTTCACTCGAAGAAGACAAACAGATGAAACCTCCCATGAAAAAATCTACTTCTTGGTTTTGTTAATGTCCTTATAGTCACTTTCAATTGCTTAAAGTACTTGTCTTTTAGATTTTATTTTGAGTTTTTGACATTCTTTTTGATTTGTCATGAAATTTTCCTTATTAATGGTTAGAGTGTATTGTGTTTTTGTTTCTCCTCTTATATTGGTCTTGTCCTAAAGATAAACTTCAAATGATAATTATAATTTGTTATATACATATACTGGTAAGTATACATTAAGAGAAGTACAGAAAGACATCAATAAAAGTACGTTGTTGTAAGATGTTTATGATTATTCACCAAGAATTACATTATGTCGATGGAGGTTTACCAATTACTAGGTATTACTATTTGACTAGTTTTATACATTGGAGATTTGGGGTGATCACTAAAAGGTTTGGAAATCAAGATATTTGTTAAGCAACACGCAATGGCAAATTCATCTATCATAACATCTGCATTCTGATAGAGAAGAAAGACACTTCCAGAGAAATTCTTTACTAAAATAAGCAAAAAGAAAACCTCCTTTACATGTAAGAATGAAAGAAATGATCCACGTTCCAATAGATAACGGAAGCACAAGAACATTTAGATGTTTAACAGAGAAATACAGCCAGCAGAAAGAAGGTGTAAACTTTGGAGGCAAGGGAAGGTGCTTATCTGTAGCTGCCACATAAATCTCTATTCCTGCTTTTCCAACTCCCCCATTCTTTCTATAATTGCCTGCCATTTAAAAAAAGAGATTGTTCGGCAGCAAATTTTAGAAAACCACAGATTCTAGGAAGGATGAATAACAAGCGGAAGTTAGGGAGGGTTAACATGTGTGCGAAATCAATTAATTTTATTGCCATTATCTCAGGGATGAAACAATATCTAATCATCAATAGGTGCAGAAAATTGTCAATACTAGTGAAGCTTGTTTGGCTAAAAGTTGAAATTGACCACAATATTAGCATCCATCATAAGGACCAAATATTGTTCTGGCAGCTACAGGCTCTGCCTCTGACTATGGCAAAAGGTCATATGAGGAGGTGTTTTTCTATTAAATTTACCTTCTTACTCGTTTCTTGAAGTTCCCCAGCAAGAATGAACTCATCTAATATCAGATAAACCTGCAGACAGGGAAAATTTAACAAAGGGAAACAGCATGAGTTAGATGATGACCATCAAATCTACAAACAAAAAGCAATTTGGTGGTCATTATGTATATTTTTTCTGAAAAAAGCACAGTTTCACATCAACATATTCTCAATATTGTGACGACTGTAATTTTTTAATACAAAACTGTGCTGGAATATTGCTTTGCAAACTGGTAGCCTCATTTAGTGCATATGACTGAGCACAACAGAACTGTGACTTTTGCCTGCCATTTCATTGATAGGTTGGAAATAATTTCCATATATCCCCGGAAAACTAGAACACCAGACCTATTGTAATCCCTCTGAACCCCCGAAGTATTGTGATTCCATAAAGGATAAAAAATTATCACCGGACTTTGCGCAATCTTAGAATTGGTATTAGTTGTTAATTCTTGAGAATAAATGAGAGAACCAATAATATACATGGAGCTACTAATACTATTTTAGACACTTAATGGTAACGGTTTTCTGGTTCTTAACAAATCTAATTAATTCCAGCATAAGCTTAAAATTAAAATGGAAACAACATTCTACTGTGCTGACATATAGGTAGGAAAGAGACAATAAAGTGGATTCAGTTCCTTCATTTAAGGCTAGAGGAATAACTCCTATGACCTATGCAAACAGAAAAGACGGGGACCATCAATTCCAATGTGATAGGGGTAATGCCTCCAAGAGCTCCTAGGCTTAGATTGAGCATTTTCTTATTCCTACTCAATATAGGCCACTCACAGGTCTTCTAGTTCACTTCCTCTTAGAGAGGTTATGAAAAAGGTAGGGATAGCAGCTGCAGTCCTGAATCCTGATTGCAGATGAGGATGCTAATGATCAATGAAGAAACTAAAGGGGTGTTTTTGTGCATGGTAATACCTTTTTATTTTTGATTTTTTATTGCGCATGGTTATATTTAATAAACTAAGGTGGTGTTACTATCATTTAATTATTATTTATTTATTTATTTATTTATTTTNGGGGAGGAGGGGGGGATAAGGTACAATCGGTGCTTTTGTTACAAAAACTAAAATACATGTCTTATTTTAAGTTTCTCTGGAGGCACTTGGTGCATTTGTTCCCATATCCACCAGTTTTTCACCTAGTAAGAATCTATCTTGAAGGTATGTATCCTGCAGTAAACCGTTTAACTCAAGGAAGACCAAGCCACTACTGGGAGGGGAAAACTAAAGTAAATAAATACGACCCAAACTGCAGCAATCAGCAGATATCCCACCAGTACAGTTTCCAACTCAACAATTGACCAGCATATTGGCAATTCATTACGAGAGCCAACATAACAACAAAAGTTCAGCAGCACTTATCGGTAAGCTTCTAAGGTTCCACAGTGAGATTGTTGGATAGACTTGGAATTAATCAAAGCACCATTATGACATAAGGGGTGATGAAAAAAAAAAGATATTTAAAGAAAACCAGTCCTTCACTAAGTAGCAACAGATGCATGATAAGAAAATGTCTAACCTTGTGGAAGTTAAAAACCAAATCTAGTTCACAGACGTTGCTGAAGAAGTGATCCAAAATTTCGACAAACAAGTGGATGCTCTCCAGATAAGCTAACTCGTTGTCAGTAATATCAACACAGAGTGAGAAAAACAATCCTGCATACCTTCTGTATATAATCTTGTGGGTACGGAACTGAAAGGAAAAGAATCATGAACAGGGAGTGTTATTGCTTGTGAATGATCCAGGAAACACAGTTTAACAAAAATGAAGAGAAGTCGAAACAATAACAAAAAAGAGAGCTATTTGATGCTGCATCAGATGACAAACAGGAGTGAGAGTACATTTTTGACAAGTATAGCTTAAAAGATATTAAATGCCAATAAATCATAGTGCAATGAGACTCGTCCTGATATGCAAATATCATCATCAACCTAAAATACCAAAGAAAATAGGAGCAACTCCCTCTTCAAATATACTTCCCGCTGGATTCCTTTTTCTCTAGTATCCAGTTGAGGTTTAGCACAAAGGCTAATAAGTTTCCTCTATTTTCAAGTTTGACTAGCATACCTTGAATAAGAAGCAAATAGGCAAATTCAAATTTCTTTCACGCTTCTGTTTCCTTCTCTGTGAAATGAGTTCTCCTTAACTCTCCCCTAGATTAAAAGAAATTACTTACTAAAAACGAATTATCTGCTAAATTCTTGCTTTGAACTTTTATCTCTAAGGGATTTACACATCTAGTTTATGCATTTATGATGCATCTAATCAGTATTTTTAACAATATCACAGTAAATAGACCTTTAGTTGTTTTTGGAGGTTAAGTATATAATATATACCCAATTGTTCCGAGGAATCAAATCAAGACCTAGCACATCAATATGTTGAGCCCAGTACCACTGGAAAGATAATTGTGCTAGTTAGGTGTCACTTCGAAAATCATCTTACCACACATGACCCGAAGCCAAACCTGAACCTAGTGAAGGAGCCCTCCTCTTGCTTTCTCCTCCTCTCTCCCTCTCAGCCAACCCCAACCCCTCAGCTTTGCTTGTTGGGCTCAAAGATTGAACAATAAAAGGACCCACCAAGACAGAGAGAGTGACTTCAAAGCCAATCTTCCCCATCCATGATAAAGCTTTTCTCCCCCAAAAATTTTCCGCTGCACTATAGACTAGTCTTCATCCACAAACCATTTACTCATTTTACAGAAGTTCTTACATCCCACTAGCAGGTTTGCCCATTGAAGATCAATCCAAAATGCTGAATATTCCTCCCCAGTATATTGGAACAAGATAAAAAAGACATGAAAAAATGAAAGTAGAGGAAAAGAACTATCACTAGGCCATCTAAATATAATTGCACCAGAAACCGAAAAGGTTGGGACTTAGAATAATATTTTGCCTAATGGGAAAGGTAAAAATTTCCACCAAGACCACATCTTTCTTTTCACTAACATGACATAAGCTAAGATTGCTAAACACAAGAAGGAAAGTAGACACAGACAAGAATCTTAAAAATAAAAAATAAAAGAAATTACACCTACAGAAACCAACCATTGTACAGATAATCAAGTAAAACGATTTCCACATAAGTATGATTAAGAACTCAATGGTAAATAACTTTTTTTTGGTAGCTTATGTCATCGAAGCATAATAGGTTGACTGAACCTATCATGTACGGGAACTTAAAAGTAGAAAAATAGCAGCTTTTCAGCTAAGTCCTTAGAGTTATATGGAATTGGGACGGTTTTACCTCCACAAAGTTGGTGAATTTGGGATCTCTATTCACCACCAACCGATGAACCTACAGGACCAAATTGACATTGTAAGCAAAAGCCACAAGCGAAGAATTAACAAGATACAAAATTTCCTGAAAAAACGAGAAGCAAAAAGGAGCAAAATTATAATACCTCGTATTCGACCTTGTGCTTCTCGGATTCCTCGAGAGGAATGTAATATTTGGCCAAACGGGTCTTCCCTTGTCTGTTCTGAAGCACTATGAAACGGATCTGCCATTTAAAAAATGATCCAATTGAGAAAACAATCATCGAGATGATAAAGTTTTCTTGCAGCAAAATTACGCAGAAATGGAACACATACTGAAATTTCAATGAATTTACGTCCCCTAATTTATTATGTTTTATTTTCTAGAATGGAAGAAAAGGACTTGAATATTAAAATCACCATTTCTGACGAGTCGGAGGAGTTACAGATAACCGTTTTGATTTTTGAGTCGTAAACAACAGTGGGACTCGAGTTCAGAGCCGAGCTGCGAGACTATTAGGAAGATTTTCTTCTTTTATTTTAATACAGAAGGTAAATTAAGTATTATGAGTTCAGAAAATTTTAGCTTTCCTTTGGTTTAGAGTAATAATAACTCCCTTCGAAAAATATAACGGGTCCAAACTCCAAAGTCCTAACTTTGTAATTTAATCTATACTTTGAGTTTTGAGTTAGAGGCGGATCCAAAAATTAAGTATTATGGATTTAACTTTTAAGAATTTAGCATCAATTTTTTTTAAGTTATAGATTCTTATTTAATATTTATCAAAATTTTAATAAATTTTTATACAAAATTTTACTCTGCTCCGAAATTACTATGTTTGGATGACAAGTGTGCTGCATCTGCCTCTTGAGTCTCAAGAGAGGAAAAGGGAGGGAAATATCATCAATTCTACTCTCCTTTAATCTTCACTAATCACACAAAGGTAAATAAGTTTGTTCTCACATATCTTCGTGATCTCTTCTTATGCACCAATTAACTATATATAGTACTATTTAGCTCAGAATATTAACCACGGTGCTTGCATTAGTCTACATTTTCATTGGCTAGGATGATATTACCACTTTTAGCTCATGCCCGAAAGTATTTACATTCGAGAATCGAAAAAGTGTATAATTTGTGTATTTTTCGATTGTCGAATGTAAATAATTTCGGGCACGAGCTAAAAGTGATAATATCACCCCTGCCGGCCCATTGACCCATTTCCAATTATTTGCACTGATTGGCCTTTTTGAAGTCATTCTATAAATTTTGTCTCCGTTAGCATATTATATTACCCGAAATTGGTCAATTTTACCATCTGTTACATTTTTGGTATGACCAAATATCTGTTGTTGGCAAATCATTTTGTATTTTGTCTTACCCTTAACGATAATCTAGCTTAAAATGGGTGGACTCAGCACGTCCCGAAAAAAAGAATGCAAATTTACCCATTAACTTTTAATATGGTTTAGAACTACTCTTGATTATAAAATTCTTTTAGGTGCGCGTAAGTTGACTCTAATACCATAGTTATAAGACAATGATCCTAGTTGAACACTATAGTTATTTAAAAAAAAACATCCCAATTTGGAGCTAATCAAGGGTCTAAGTCAAAAGTGTAACGGTAGACAAAGTTGCTAAAATTTAAATGCTACATGGGCAAATTCCTACCTTCTCCCAAAATGATGTGAAAAAACTTAAAAGAATTATGTATGTATATCTATCTATATCTATATTATTATAAAAAGCATGAATCTTAATGTCGGATTACCAAAATAGCCTTAAAATATTAAGCATAATAACTCACTATAAAAGGACATAATCGAAATTCTAGACATTAACTTTGTAATCCTATTAGTTTTAGGACATAATACTACACGTTAAGAATTCTACATGATTACCTTTAGAAATCTTATTAGTATAATTATTTTCTGATATAGATATTAGCCTTGTATTCCTATTACTTTTAGGACATACTTATGAATTTTAATTAATATCCATGGAATTGAAAACAAGTAGGTCGACCATCATTGGTTACCAAACGCATAATAAAATATTTTAATAATATTTCTTTAGTTACAACTTGTAAATAATAGAACCTGATACAACCATAATATAACTACTGATACTAAGTTGTACATTAAGCAATTGAATTTAATCATTATATTCCACTTTTTTTTTTGCATTTATTTAACAAGCGATTCTCTGAATAAAACGAAAAGAATGTGGAGGATTTCCATGAGCATGTCGGCCCCAAGCTTGCGGATGGAGAGTAACCATTGTTGATAGGATAAAAATAAAAATAAAAATCTATCTGTCTATATCTATATCCATATCTATATTATTATAAAGGCATAAATAAAATATTAGATTACAAAAATAACCTTTTAATATTAAACATAATATCTCACAATATAATAAAAGAACATAATCGGAATTCTAGACATTAGCTTTGTAATCCTATTAATTTTAGGACATAATACTACACGTAATTCTACATGATTACCTTTAAGAATTCTATTAGTATAATTATTTTCGGACATAGATATTAGTCTTGTAATACTATTACTTTTAGGATATACTTCTTAAAAATTCCTATTACTAATTTAATTTGAAAATGTATTATATTATTTAAATTCATTTAGAAATAGGAGAGCCTATATTATTATAAAAGTACAAAAGTAATATTAATAGACCAAAATAGCCCTAAATATTAAATAGAAGAACTTGTGAGCACGTGATTTTTGCCCTATATATGAATAATTCCAACAAAATAATTTTTCCTTATTTTTATAATTTTTTGTGCATTTTGGTATCATTTTCTGATAATGGTTGCATTTTATTTGTGCATGTTAATTCATATAAAATACAAAAAATATGCATTTGCATTTAAGATATAATTTTATATTTTTAGGATCAATTAGGGGTTAGTTTATTTTAGAACCAAACATGAAAAATTACAAAATAGCTCACTTTCGCATTTTAATTATTTTAATCGTAAATTTGGCGTAAAATAGGTTTTAAATAATTTTAGAATTTAATTAGTTTAGTTTTGAAATATATTAGGACTTTATTTTAATTGTTGCAATTGTATAAAATCAGAAAAAAATAAAAACACAAAATTACAAAGAAGAAAACAAACAAGAACAAATTGGGCTTATCTCAAATTTAAACCCAAACTTCAGCCCGAATCAGTTTCCGACCAGGCCCAGAACCCTCTCCCCATCCGGTCCAATTCGATAAAATCAAAACGACGCTGTTTGGCGTCGATTAATCCAAACCGTCGAGGTTAACAAGATCAACGGCTCAGAGGCAGGGTAGGCGTACTATAAGACTGTCCGAAGGCCCCCCCACCCCATTCATCATCGTCTTCCTCAACCCCCACAAACCCTAGCCGCGCCGCCCTAAAAACCCTAGATCGCCGGTGGCGGCGCCGACGCTAATCACCCCCAAATTTACACCCCTCGTCCTCCTCACTCTCCTCTTTCCATTCCTACCATTGGTTTCCCTCGAATATTGCCGGAGCTCGTCGAATCTCCGATTGAAGTTTCCGGCCAAGTTACAAGTTCATCCAAACCAGTCCAAAATCATACCACACCATCCTCAGACTTCCCTCAACCCAAATCCATGACCATCTTCCTTCGAATCCCGGCGAAGCGGCTCGAATTTCAGATCTAAGAATTTCTGGCCAAAACCCTAACCCAAAATCTTTGTGATTTTAGACCATAAAATTCTTAACCATGTGTTCTTTTGTGAAAGAACACATGGTTAGGGATGTTATGTGTCAAAAATCTGGAAAGATTCGGATGATAGCAATCGGCCGGAGTTTCTCGTGCTTCAGTGAGCTTTCTTGTTTCTTTTTACTTGCATAGTTATAGTTTTAATTATAAGTTTTTATTTCATTAAGGTGTTCTGTTAATTTTACGATTTTGTTTTTGTGTGTATTAGTATAGTTTAAATCTTCTTTGTTCCTTGCTCCTTGATCAGTAAAGCATCTTTGCATTTTAAATTTAGTTTGAGGCATGTGTCGTTTATTAGTTAATCACAATTTTAATTGTAGAATCGACATAATTAATTAGTTTGGATTCAGTACCATTTTTTTTTCTCCATTAATATTGACTGATCCTGTTTTTTTAAGTTGTTTGGGTTTGGGTGATTGAATAATTGGGATTGGTTAGATCAATTGGTTAATTTCTGACTTCTAATTAATCAGTCCTAGTTAGTTTTGAATTAATTCAGGGGATTGGTTATAGCTGTTGAGAATATAGGTAGAATCAGTAACTTGGAGGAGCTTTCAGAGGTAGTTTAGGCATGGAAAAGGGCAGTTTCTTTGGGAATAGTAATTTCAAAATAAGGGTAAGGGTAGTATAGGTATTTTAGGGGTAGAAGAGCATCCTAGGGCCTTCTAGAAGGGTATTTTAGTGTAGGTTTCAGCCAACTTAGGAGATTAGCTTGGGAAACAAGTCAAGAAATGAGGGACTAAACTGAAAATAGGGGAGGGACTAAAAAAAAACCAAAAATCTGATTAACTCTCTTGGATCACCTATAAAAGGGCATGAAGTGCCTTGAGGAAGGGGATCGAATTTTCAGCCTAGAAAAAATCCACTAAACATATTCTTCAGTCTCCAGATCTGAAATTCTATTAGCTGAATTACAACACTTTTCCTGGTTTAATTTCGAGTGTTTTCTAAATTCAAACAAGTCAAATTTGGAATCATTTATCTAGGATTTTTAATGGTTGGTATTCCTGAGTGTGTTTTGGGTTGATTCATTGGGTTTGCTCTGCATTTCAACTCATTTCTTCTGAATTGTTGAACCTGGGTGGACTGTATTACTCCTTTACTGACTGTGACTGGGTTATTACTCTAGTTTCTGAGCTGCTGCTGAGTTGTTACTGCTGCTAACCTCCCCTTCTCTATTTACATTCCAATTTCCAGGTACACTTTCAAAATCAACTTGATGTAATCAAAATTTTGGATGAAATGCAATCACCTTGGTCAATCTGTGCTCGTTGGATGTATATAGCTGTAATCAGTTGACTGATAAGTGATTATACATATCTGATTCGTTTGGGTTGAATCGTATTAGGGATTGTTAATTCAAACCATTTCCAGACTGTTCAGACTGTTGCATTCCATGTTTATGTAGCTGTAGCTTTCAGTTTGTTTAAGTTTAGCAGTTTGTTAAAGTTAAATTTGTAAAGTTACAACTGATTTTGAGTTCAATACGCGTGATTGGTTTCAGTTTTGGTTTTAATCTGAATTGCATATTCAATAGCTTCGTACTGTGCCAGTTTTCATTTGGGCCTGGGCGTATTAATAGGCAGCCCAGGTCTGTCTTGGTCAAGTAGTGACTTGAATTGGGCCTAGGTGCATTAAAAGCCTGAAGCAATTAGTTAAACCGAAGGGTGCCCCAAGGGCTCGATCCCTGGGCTTTACAGATGCCTATCATTGGGTTTAAAATTTTGGCCTGCGTTAGGCCCAATGCTTGGAGCTGTAGGAGTTTGAGCTCGCAGCATGTGCAATTACATGATTTGGG